TCACAATAATACCAGTTGTTTATGCACATCTCTTTTCAGGTATATAAATTGTGACACATTTATATTGGAAAATTATAGTTGAATGGAATAACTTTCTTTCTGTAGTTTTATTTCATTTTCTATACAAGAAATTTTATTCCTTAGGTGTATTTAGACTACGTCCCAGGTTTTTCTACCTGCTTATGGAAGCCTATTCAAAATCCTTCTAGAACCAGAATAAATGAGATTTCCTTTGCAATATTAGCACTATAATGTTTATGTAAAAAATTTATGGCTTTATCTAAAATGGCAAATTCTATGCCAAGGAAAATACATTTTCTTAAAGCCACTTTTTTTTTTCCATATCTGCTCTTTGGAAGTTACTGGGTTAATTAGGTTCTATGTGGGTCTTACGGGGTTTATGATGGAATCCCTGCCCTGAAGCCCTGAGGCAGGAAGGTGCTTTCAGGGACACTGAGGAAGCTAGTATGGCTGAAGCTGAGTGAGCAGTTTTTATGCTGAGCTGTAACAAGATTATCATACCAGTTTCTGTTAAATTGCCCATGTAGACACTGGCAAGAAAATCTGGAAACATGGCATATTCAGGTATGACCAGGCAAGTCTGTCCACCAAAGTTAGTGTGAAAATTTATCAGAATTTAGCACTGGGGATGCACACCCTTGAGGAAATAATGGTGACAAGGATGATAGTAGGTAACATTTATTGAGTACTCACTATGTGGCAGGCAGCATTTTAAGAATTTTATTAAAATGAGCATTATTAAGGCATTGTGTCTTTTCACTTTCAGAATCTCAGGATCTGGAAGTGGTAAAGGAACTTGCTCAGTATTATGAACCTGGGAGGGAGCTCTTCTTTAATATTATTGACAGGTATTCCTACAGGATCTCTGTGGAGATTTGCAAGAAAGGCAGAGCTCTGAGCTCCTGATGGAGGAGCTCACAAAGCCCATAGGAGCTGAAGCTGAAAGATGAGGACCATGAGCAGCTATGGGAGGTGTAGGAACACTGGAGCAGGACCTAGAGGTGTGGCTGATGGCCAGACTTTCTGAGGAAGTTCACAAGATGATATGAGAAGCTCTCATGAAATAGTTGGCATCTGAAAAGCTGCTGAAGGAGGTGGTGGGTAGAATTGACAGGCTGCAGGTGGAGGTGACAACCTTGAAGGTAGCAGTCGTCACATCCACATCCAGCCTCTCCCAACCATGAGCCCCACTTGCAGCTGCTGAACCCCGCTAACACTGGGCCCCACAAGGGCCAGAAACACTAGCAGCTCCCTCTACCCAGTTGTGAGCCCCTCTACGGGACATACCTTTGCCATGGATGAGGAGGACAAGGAGATGGATAGGGCCCTTTTTGCCAGATTCTAAGCCTGGAGGGAATTGCATATCGTGGACAAGCCCTGTTACTTCCTTGGAAGGGTGTACCCAGGGGATGTGGGCCCTTGCCTGGACTTTATAATGCGGGATTTCTTGGTGCTGCTGTAGGCCAGTTGGGAGGACAACAAATGCTCACCACCTAGCCCATGGCTTTGCAGATGCTGCCGCAGTATGAGTGGACACAGTTAAGTGCGGCAGTGCCAACGTATGTGTCCACACCTGCCAGTACCACATCTGGCTCTGTCACTTTGAGAGCCACAACTACACCTCACCATCCTCTCTAGCTTGGATCACAGTAGTGTACAATTTTGTCACTTTCATCTACTACATCCAGCAAGACCTGTTGCATAAGAATATGAAGCCAATATTTTGGGAGATCACAAAGCTGCAAAAGGAGATGAAGCTGGCCCAGTTTAGCATCTTTTCCTTGGAGGCCTAGGGTATTACCTGGGCCTGGGGGGAGGCGGGGTTATGGGCTGGGCAAATAGCTGCCCCAAAATGGACAGACACATAAAAAGACAGGGTCCTAGAGCCAGTCCTGAGCCAGAAACCAAACATCCGCCTGGGAGGGACAAATGTCCAGGACCTGGAGGCAGCACTGAGCTGGCACCAAATACCTGTCCCAGGACAGATGGAGTGACAGACAGATTTGTCTTTCTTGCCTATTGAGTTATACAATTCCCAAGGAGATTTTCAAGAAAGCACCAAATGCCAAGGAGCTCAGAGCCTTAGATGCTTCCATAGGAGTGAGGTAGTTCCCTACCTCCTAAGGCAGCTAACTCTACAAATATCTGTAATTATTACACAATACTTATTGTGCCTTCTGCCCTTTGCAGCTCCCTTGCTATTGTCTAACTCTTCTGCTGTGGGATAGACCATCACATTTTACTTAAAAATAGGAATGTATCCCTTGTGGGGAAGTCCTGGCACTTTTGTGGCAACGTCAACCTTCATGGAGTATCCCTGAATCAGTGATGGCAGAAACAGTGTTTACTCTTCCCCCATCACTCCATCTTTCCAGGTCTGCAGTGAACTCCTTAAGGGCAGAGGCTCTTGCTTTATTCATGGTTTTATTCCCAGTATCTTGCACTGAGTTATGGAAATGAGTGAAAGAGTGAATGAATACCAGTCTGGGATTAATATGTTGGGTCCCAAGTTTAGCTTGGATAGGACCCGAGATTTGCAGAATTCTAATACTGTATTTTGTCATCATAATTTTTTTTTTTTACCTCTTTACTCCTGCCCCACCACAGTTTTGCTCTTTCTGTTCTTAGAGCATTAACCATCCAGTGACATTTGTAAAGAAAGGTAAAGCTGTGATATCTGACCTTAGCCCTATTCTCTTTGATGGGAGAAATGAGGAAATCATCTGATCAGCACTGTGGGTAGAAATTAGAATCCAGAATAAGGCTAGGGTGAGGGGAGGGCTGGGGGACACTCCAGGGGAAATGATATGATAGCAGAGAACATCAGGGTGTTTGCCATACGCTTTGGGAGGCATACCCAGTATATTTTATTCCTTATGTAATTGAAAGAGAGATGACTAGGAGAATGAGAGGAGATATATTTTTGAATTCTGATGGAGGATGACAAATTGAAGTCCTAATGCCAATTTAAAGATGACATATATTTATAGAATTTGTCAAGGTACCATGGGGAATATAATAAATATTTCACATGTCCACATGTCATGCTACCTTAGCAAGACCTTAGACACCCTAGGCAAGGAGACTGAGTTCATCTTTGTACTCCCAACTTTTCTTTCCTTATGAAATTGTACATAATAGATGCTCAATAACTTGTAAATCACATAGACTAGAGGAATTGGTTCTAAATCTCAAAGTCTACAATCTCTTGGAGAAACTGAATATAATCATCTGGAAAGTTAAATAGGAATAAGAAAAAGTACATACCCTGACCAAATGGAATTTATTCCAGGTATGCAATGCTGATTCAGTGTCCGAAAACCAATCAGTGTAATCCACCTAACTTTTGTAATCCATTAACTTTAGTTAATCATAGTGTATCTGTGTGCATTCATTAATCATAATAAATGTACCATAATTAAGATAATGGGGAAACTGGGTGAAGGGCATGTGGGAACTCTGTATAATCTTCTTAATTTTTCTGTAAATCTAAAACTGTTCTAAAATTAAAAGTTAATTTAAAAAATGCATGGTTATATGTGGTTAAGTGCATAGTAAACTGTAGACATACTACGTCTCTATATAAATTCAAAGAGATACAGTATTGTAATGTGGTTAAGATTAATAGCTAATCTTTGGATTAATAGCTAGAGTTCTAATCCCTGCCATTACTGTCTGGCTAGATGACCTTACAGATTATTTAAACTTTTCTGTAAAATGGGGATAACAATATTTCCCCCATAGGGGTATTGAGGTTTAAACCAGAGTGACTGCAGAGTGCTCGAGACAGTGCTTAGTACATATTAGGCTGCTATGGATGGTAGAGAAATAAGGATTTCTTGGGGTAGGTAGGACTGAAGCCAGGTCTTGGAGAATAGGTAGGATTTAGACAGGGAAAAAGGATATATATCATGAATTCTAGCTCTGACATTTAATTTGCTTTGTGACCTTTGATGAGTCTCTGAAATTCTGTGTGTAGTTTTCCTTTTTATTAAAAAGAGATTGTTGCGATCATAGTGCTTGTTTCATAGTTGGTGCTCAAAAAATAATAGTTGCTCTTATCATAAATGTAGTTACTGTTACCGCTGTCATCATTGTTGTCATTAAATCAGGGTAGGGGATGGATAGGAATTGGGCTTTCTTGGAGCTGAGGTTTCAGCTAATGGAGGGCAACAAGATTTATATTTAGGGAAGAGTCTGATTACAAATATAAATAAAAGAACTATTAGAAAAATAGAAAACTTTGATCATGATTACAGGGATTTAAGCTGGCTACAATGTCTAGGATGTGGGGGACTTTCTACAGAATAAGTTTTATTTCACATCAAAATTCTGAAACAGATTCATGAATACCAGATTATACTTTTGCAATGACTTTTTTCTTACCTTGTAAACAAAGCTAGCTTGCTTGCTTCCCCCCCTTTTCTTTCTTTCTTTTTCTTTCTTTCTTTCTTTCTTTCTTTCTTTCTTTCTTTCTTTCTTTCTTTCTTTCTTTCTTTCTTTCCTTCTTCCTTTCTTTCTTTCTTTCTTTCTTTCTTTCT